TTGAATACGATGTTCGCTTCCTGTTGAGCGAAACCTAAATCTCCCATCAGTTGTCTAATCCAATGTAGCTCCTGCAATGTTAAGGCTAGAGCGATGTATTCAGCTTCTGTCGAAGATAGGGCGATGCAATTTTATTTCTCACTTCCCCATGATACCGTACTGTTTCCTATTTGAAATATATATCTGGATGTGGATTTTCTGTCAGAGGTATCTCCTGCCCAATCAGCGTCACTGTAAGCTTTGATGACTGGTGCACCATTGGATTTTAGATGTAATTTGTAATTAATTGTAGCTCTCAGATATCGTATGATTTTAATGATACTGTTCCAGTCCGATGTTAATGGATTTTCTGCTAAGTATTTCAACAGAATTTGCTATGTCAGGTCTTGATACTGTTGCTAAATATAAAAGTGCTCCCACTGCTTCCCTATACTTCCGATTATCGGGAAAAACGTCATCCTGGTTGTTTTGGTTCTTCGTAAAATTCGTAGTCATGGGTGTATAGCTTAGTTTCTTTGGTGACTCTCCGTCGAATTTTTCGATCATACTCTTAATCTTGTTAGCTTGATGAAGTTTAAAGCTTCCGTCTTTTTCTCTTTCGATTTCAATTCCTAGATATGTAGACACTTCTCCAAGATTTCGAATGTCGAAATATTCTTTGAGAATTCGTTCAACTTCTTGAATTGATTCACACTTGTCGCTCGCGACTAATATGTCATCAACGTAAACGATTATGTAAGTTCTTGCGTTTTTCTCGATTAGTGTGAAAGAACATGGATCAGCCTTTCCTTGAACGTATCCTTGTTTGCGCAGGATTTCAGCTATCTTGTGATTCCAGTTTCTGGCTGCCTGTTTTAGTCCGTAGATACTTTTATTCAGTTTACAGACTTTATTTGCTTCTGAAGCAGAGATGTAGCCTTCTGGTTGCTTCATATATTCGTAGCTTTTAACCACAGTTCCTTTTCTTTGGTAGGAAAAGTTTGCAGTTCTTCCCAGTCTTTAGAGAACTTTGATTTCTTCATTCTTAGCCATGTATGAGAATCTGTTTGGTGGGATTCCTTTAGTCGTTCTGTGGGATCTTCTCGGTAATGGGGGAATTTCTTCTGTTTCAATTACTTCCTCTGTAATAGCATTTGGACATGGTTCTGTCAATTTATTTTCTTTAAAAGGTCATTCTATCTCCTCATGCTGATCGTTTAATTGACAAGGCATTTCTTCTTTTTTGCTTTCATCGAATATTACGCTTCTTCTGATCACGACGTTGTTTGCATGTGGCATGTAAATTCTATATCCTTTAGTACGGTCCCTATATCCAACAAGAATTCCTTTTTCTGCTCTTTCGTCTAGTTTGCTTCTTTTCTGCTTTGGAACTCGACAATAAGCTGTACTGCTGAAAACTCTGATATGGCTTAGGTTCGGCTTCTTATTATTCCATAGTTCATACGGTGTTTTTTCAACTGATCTTGATGGTAGCCTGTTTTGTAGACTGAGTTCTCGGGGGTTTGACCCCATTCAGTTCTCGTGGCGGGGACTGACAAAGCGGACAGAGCACCTTTTTACAATGTGGTTTTGCTAATGGAGTGGTGCCCGGAGGCGAGGTGACAACGCATTTACTGGCAACGTTTAAGTTCTGCCCAATGCTTCGTAAAAGCCGGACGGGGACTGCGGGGATTGCGCCTGCGAGAACGAGGTCCCACGGGCGTTGGATTTTCAACTCTGGATGGGTCCCATATAATGTGGACCAGGGACGGAGGTCCCTCGCCTGGTGAGTCTGTCATTACGGCTTCACCCCAAAATTCTCTTTTGAGTCCTGAATCGAGTAGCAGGCATCTTGTCATTTCCGTTAAGTATCGATTTTTTCTTTCTGTTCTACCGTTCTGTTGCGGTGAATATGCTACGAAGGTTTGATGTTCGATTCCCTCTTCCTTTAGATAGTCTTCAATCTCTTTGCTTGTATATTCTCCTCCATTGTCTGTTGTTAAGACTTTTGGCTTCTTTCCAAATTTGTTCTTCGTCATGGTTACAAATTGTTTTAATTTGGAGATAGCTTCATCTTTTGTAGCTAGCAGAGATAGATCGTTGTGTATCTCGAATGATCGTCGATGAATGTTATGAAGTATTTCTTTCCTCCTAGTGATGTTGTACCGATTGGTCCACAAATATCTGAATGTATCAAGTCTAGAACTGATTTTGCTCTATAGTTGTTTAGCTTGGGATACGGCAATTCAGTCATTTTGCTTCTGATACAGCATTCGCATTCTTTTTCCTTTTTGGCTTCTCCGTCAATCCTTATTCCGGTTGCCAGGTCATCACTCTTTAGCCTCTTGATTGCTTCATAATTTCTGTGTCCTAGCCTTCTATGCCAAAGATCTATACTATTTTCTCTTCTTTCTGCAGCTGCAATTTTGGCTGTTTTTCTTTGCGATTCAAATACGGTATATAAATTTCCTTCTGCTTTAGCAATTCCTATGGTTTTATTTTTCTTCTTTATTATGCAAATATCTTCTTCAAATTCAACTGTAAATCCTTTCTTTATAATTTTGCGTACGGATATCAATCCTCCTTCTAGGTCAGGAACGTACAGGCCATCTACGAGTCTCACTTCTATTTCGTTATCTTCGTCGTCTGTACAGTATAAGTATCCTTCTCCTATACCTTCGGACTTCATCTGCGTGCCGTTAGCAATTGTTATCTGCTCAGTTTTGCTTCTATCCAATTTGGTGAAAAAGTATATGTTATCGGTCATATGACAAGTAGCACCTGAGTCGATTGACCAGTTTGAGTTTTGAGATTTTCTTTCTCTGGTGACTTCGAACGTGTGATTCTCAGTCTTCTCATGATTCTTATTTTCGTTTTCAATCTTCATGTGTATCCTCGTTTACAGCAACTTTTCGTTTTCTGTTTATTTCCATAATTTCCTTTATTTGTTTGCTTTTCATTCTTGAAAAATGAGTTACTTTCGTTTTTTTTATCTTTTTCTTTGTGGTTATTTAAGAATCTGCACTCTTTTTCTAAGTGTCCTATTTTTTTGCAATAATTGCATCTTCGTTAATTTAAATGCTTGAATTTTGTGCTAAAATTCGTTTTGAAGGCAGTCGTTTCTTCTGCTCACGTGACTTCTTTTCTTCTCAGGCATTCGTCGATGAGTTTCGTTTTTACATATTCCAGCGTTAGTTCTTCTTCTGGGCGTGCTTCTAAAGCTGTAATGAGATTTTCGTAGCTTTTTGGTACGCCGCTTAGTAAGAGAGCTGCAATGTGATTGTCCTTTATTTCTTCACCGATTCCTCGCAGTTCGCCTACGATTTCGAGCATCTTGTTGACGTGTTCTTCGAGTTTGTATTCGTTTTCTGCTTTTAACGTATACAGCTTTCTCAGAAGGTAAAGTTTACTGGAAAGATTCTTTCTTTCATGTATTTTCTTAAGTCATTCCTTATTTCTTTGGCTGTTGTTTTATTTCTTATGTGTACGATTTGGTTGTCTTCTACGAGTAAACTAATGGTAGCTTGTGCTTGTTCATCTCGCTTTCTCCATTCGATGTTTATTTCTTTTGGTGTATCATATGCTATTAAATCCCATAAATTTTCCTTTTTCAGGATCATTTCAAGTTTGTATTTCCATACTTGATAGTTGTTATTGTTTAGTTTCATGATCGAATATTTATTTTCGTAGCTAGTAGCCATTTCTTTATCTGTATTTCGAATGCGCAGTACGCAACTATGCAGTTTTGTTTCGCTTTTGAAGACAGGCTTGGCTTTTCCTTTTTCGGATTATCGAGCGATAATTTATGGTAATGTATCTTTTCTGTTTTTTATTCTTAATGGCTTATCTGGATATATTTTATGCGTTTAGCTGAAGTAAACATATTTTCGGTCTCATAATCTTTTGTTGAAGGTATTCGTGGTTCATTTTTGTTTACTGTTACAACTTCACTAAATCGAGACAAGCAGATGAATAAAACAGAATTAAAGTTTTTACCTTAATAAAGTGTAATCCAAGCTACCGATGTAAAAAACACGATCATTATATTAGCAAACACAAAATAACATATTTATTAGGTATACGAAGGAAAACATACATTGATGATTACAAACGTTGTTTACTATCCATTGCATAACGCGAGAAGCAAGTCATACAAGGAGAGAATGTTTCTCCTTCTTTATTTCTATTTTTTTTGGGGGGGGATCAAGTCCAATCACAGTTAGCGGGGGTGAGGGGGAAATTAACGTCGAAGTGTACAGCTTCATCCCTGTCATTATGAATTGCTCCACAGAAACATCCGTCATCACCTGTCCGAAAGAAGTTCAAGACAACTCCCTCTGCAGGTAAAGTGCTCCTCACAGTTTTCTGGGACGCCCAAGGAGTTTTGTTGCTGGACTTTTTGGAGGTTGGAACCATCAATGCTACGCGCTACTGTGACACCCTGTCGAAATTAAAAGAGGCGATTCGGAAAAAGCGGCCCTGGCCTTCTCACATCTGGCGTTCTGCTGTTGGATGACAATGCCAGACCACATTCGGCGACAGCAACGCAATACCATATTGCAACTCTTGGTTGGGAGCGCCTACACCATCCGCCATATAGTCCTGATCTCGCACCAAGCGACTTCCATCTGTTTCCGGCTTTGAAGAAAAATCTCGGGGAAAGGCACTTTGGAAGCAATACTGAAGTGAAACAAGCCGTTCAACGCTTCTTCCATATGCAAAGCCCTGATTTTTCCTGGAGGGCTTTTTGAAGCTTATCAAGCGATATGACAAATGTCTCAATGTACTTGGTACCTATGTGGAAAAATAAAGGTATGTCATATCTTTAATGTCTCATTCTATTTTTTGACTTTCATACACAACTCTGACCACAGTCGACAGGGGAAACTTATTTTTCAACTTACCCTCGTATATTCATTAGCAAATGAAATCATGCATGAACCACACCAAAATCTTGCATACAACTCTAGTTACAGATTTAAACCAACTGTATAAAAAGAAGACAAATATATTCAACATACCTGTATATAGGATGATGCAAAATGATAAACTTATTTTCATCCCAAGGCCATTGATTAGTCTAAAAAAGAAAGTAATATTTAATGACATGTACAAGATTTATTAGAATGTTTCAATCACATAAATAATATACTTACTCTTCTCTTACTGCGAAGAATAACTTTCACACCATCTACAGATACAGAAATACTGACTTTTTTCTTTTTTATAGACTTGGCTTTGAATTCATACTACATAAAACATGAGTACATGAATTAATGCTATTATTGTAAGAAAACGACAATGAAATAAAATGCAAAAAGGAAATCTTGAATTTTGAACTATGATTTTTAACAAATAAATTTTAATAGCTTAATATAAGATAAACAATTATATGAGACATAAATTAATCAATTAATTATGAGATATAAATTACGCAATGACATGATTTTAAAACGAAATGGCAATCATGCTTAAAGTGCAACAATGTCACTAATTTTTATTTCTGTTTAGTATACTCTGACAATTTATCATGGCACATGCTTCAATTTTCGGCAAAAAATTATCTTCTCATACAAAGCTCATTTCTGTATGAATGGATATACAGTACAAAGTCTGTAATCCGGACGTCCATTATCCGTAATGATCTATAATCTGGACCTCAAAGTCACAAACTTTTTTTTTTTTGTATGCTTTACGTATGTGCGTTTAATGTTTACGCATCTGCGTATAGCACAAAAAACGAAGCAACTTAAGCAACTTACATTGAAAGAAATGTTTAATGAAGTAAACAAATAAATATTAAGCTTTTTTTTTTTTTAATTCTGATACCCTTTAGATCATAATTGCTCTTTATTTCATAAATTACGGTTTCATATTTTTAATTGTATAATTTCTGCAAAGCATCTTACCAGATTTAAATTGATGATCTATAATCTGGAAAAACCCTTAACCCGGAATCACCGAAGTCCCGACGAGTCTGGATTATGGACTTTGTACTGTATTAACAAACACAACTGTCATTTTTTAGTGTGAAAATAATCCACAAGAAAATGACCAGAAACCTTTACATTCACAAAAGGGCAAAAGGAAGTGGCTCTTATGGCAGTGACATCATCATTATAGGTACAAAGAAAAAGGTATAAATATAGTAAGGGAATGTAAATTAAGGCGATATCTAAACAGTTGTGCAGTGTCCATAAAATGAAATCTTTAAATCTATCAATGTTGTTTTATTAATTACCTCAAGGGAATGCAATACAAGGTTTGTTCATAAAGTAATGAGACTAGGTCTGACTAAAAGAATTTATAGATCTGATCAATACATACTGTCAAAATTCTTCTAGTCTCCTTGGACGTTGATATACCACTGCCAATGCAACTCCCACTCTGTGAAGGCTACTTAAGCCATAACCTCTTTCAGAGTGTGACAGACTGCTGGATGGCCAGAACATCTTCAAAACGGAGGGAGACCTTTCAGACTTCTTGAGCTTTGGAAACAGGAAAAAGTCTGCCAGGCTCACATTGGGGCTGTATGGTGGCTACGGCAAGGTTGCAACCCCAAATTTGGCCAGCTAGGCAATCATAACAAAGGCCGTGAGAGCTAGACCATTGTTGTGGTGGAGCTTCCAGCAATTGGCAATCTCCGGTAGTTACCAATGTGTGCAGCAGGTGTGCAAGGACTTCTTTGTAGGAAACAGCACTGAAGGTAGAGATGCAAATTTTTGCGGACCACTCTTCGCTTAATTTTCTTTACCTTGTGTTTCGATATTCTGGTTGTTTGAGGGCATGAGGAGTTTGATGTGTGCTACTCAACTTTGGCACTTGGTTTCAGGGTCACACTGGAACCCCCATATTTCGTTGCCTGTTATTACATTATCTAAAATTTTCTAACTGCTTCATCTCACGGGAAACATCAACTCGTTGTTGTTTTGTTCATTATGCAACACTTTGGGCACCGGTTTCTCACAAACCATCTGCATGTTCAAAATATCAGAAGTAACTCTTTGAACCATTGTTTTGCACATGTTGCGGTCTTTGGTGATTAATCTTACACTCCAATGATGGTCGGAGTGCAGGAGATTTTTTACTTTGGCCATATTTTTGCCTAAACCACTCACTGAAGAGCATCCACATCGCTCTATATCTTCAATGTTCTCCTGTCTGTTCTTGAACTCAATGAATCACCTGAAGACCTGGGCCTTTGATTGAACATTGTCTTTGTCTCCTTAACCAAGGCAAGCATCTCAGAAGCGGTTTTACCCAAGTGAAAGAAAAATTTAATCACATAGTACTGCTCCAATAACCCTTCATTTTTGACATTTTCTGCTGTGAGAAAAAAAAATCAAAAACAGCTTTCGCGCTTCTTCAAAAGCTCAATAAATTAAACCAATTTATGTTACAACATGAAGTATACATTCTTGCTGACAGCAATATTAAAGTCATTACAATAAATTCGATTCTTGGAAGTTAATCATTACATGCAACTCAGTTCAAATAGATATTCATTAATTATTTCTTGAAATTTTTATTACTCATTACAGAAGACAATTATAATTCAATTTTACTATTATGAAACTCAACAGCACTGTAGACCTAAATACAGATATAACATAAAAAGATGTAAAACCGTTCAATGAGACACCTGTGGTTGCATTTTTATGTAAAGTTCAGCTGTTGGTAAATGCAGGTGAATGCCTTGTTCTACATTGACACAGATTTTGCGTATTGTTTTGGTGAATGTACAGGTGTTGAATCCTGCTTCACAAGGATGTGCACCTGAGATAGACAGCAACACTAATTTTGCTTTTTCAGGCAAGATTTTGAATTCTATTTGCATATACACAAAACTTTGATAGAATTCGGTTTTGAAAAATGATTTTTAGTTTGCAGTGAGATGTTAAATTTATGGGGATTCTGTATTCTGTTGAATGGTGTTTTGTTTACACTGAAAACATTTAACACCCATTTAAACAAGTTTTTCAAAGCTTCAAGATGCATCTGAATAATATTTTTTCTTGAACCTTGATGTTATTTTCTTCTGAGAAAGTTTCTGTAAGAGGAATGCAATCAAAGCACTACAACCAATATATTCTATTTTAAAGAAAGACACTTTGGCAACTTGCATAAAAAATTGTAGCATTATTTCCTCGCAATGACAGAATCATTTTGCTATAAATTTCTATCAATATGCCATTTTACACAGCAAGTCTTTTACATTTTAAGCTGTCACTATTAGAGGATTATGCTTCATTAAAAATGCTGGAAGTTTTATCCGAATAGCTTAATGCTTTCCCCTTACGTTTGTAGCAGGAGGGACCCATAGTAACATCTGAATTTGTTTTTAAGTCTAATAAGTCTGCTTCTAAGAATTCATGATTTTACAGTTTAAGTTTTTTATTATTATCTTTAATATGAACATTTACTAGCTACATAATTAAACCTCAATATGAAATCAAATACAGAAAACTCGCAGGAAAAATCAATAAGAAATCAAAATATTATTGCTGTGAGCATTCATTGAGAAGTGAATCCAAATTGATTAGCCATTTGTATTAACACAGGGCTAAGTTTGAGAAGCTTCAAGTGAATTCCAGCAATTCTTGAGAGACTGCAAAAAGCTTCTTGAATATGCAGTTCCAAGGAATGGCCAAACATCATCTGCTAGAGAAGATGCAGAATTCACTTGACACATTTCAGTGTTCAGAACATAATTTCTAAATTTCTTCTTTTGTTCAAATTCTTCTTCCTTATTTTTTAATTTTACTCAGTTTATTTTATTTTTCTGGAGTATCCGAAGTGTGTTTGGGAAGCACATTAGAAGTCCAAGGGGTCAGAAGAGCAGAGATTGGGAAACACAGAATTAAGCTACTAAAAATGTACTATCTTATGACATTATTTGGTGGCAATGGATTATAATCAAGGTGGATATGACTTGTAGTTACTTTCAAAGCAATGTTAAGTTGGAAAATGCAGTCATCAAGGAATAAAACCATTTAGCATTATACATTGAAAAAACATGAGTAAATTTTATTATTCTTTTCTAATAAAATTATCCAAAAAAATTAGCTGGCCCAATTAAATAAAATGGAACATGAACAGCATTATAGTCAATTAAATGTTTTGGTACTTTACCTTTGGCTGAACACAAGCAAGAAATTGTCAATATTGTTTTAAATCACATCAACATAGCAACCATTTCACAATGTTAAAAAAAATTCTAACAATATTAAAAGTTTTTTCCACAGCCAAGTATGTGTAGTAAACACACGCTGCTTTGATGCTTAAATGTTTTTTATTTATGATATAATTTCTCATTAAACAATTATTTCTTTTCCTTTATTTTTAATGTAATGAATGAAAATCTTGTTTAATTTTTAAATGAATTGGTATTTTCCATACTGATGTAGGCATTTCAAACCTTTAACCAAGGATATGTTATGATACCAAAATGAAACAAATCTGCAGATGGCAATATCTGTGTCCTACTAAGGCAAAATTACTAAATTTTAATCTCAAAAATAACAAACTAATGATATAATGAGAAAAATCTTAAAGATATCCAAAGAATAAATTTTAAGTACACCAAATACTGGACTTTCTTTTTACAATTTAATAAAAGCAAACTTTATTTCTTCTTTAACTAAAATTATAAATCTTCACTGAGCAATACGTAGCTTGGATTCTTCACAAAGATGTGCCTACAGAAAATGATTGCAATCACACAGGAATATTTGCAATCAAGAAAAGCTATAGTAAATTAATACAGAAAATTATAAATAATAAAAAAAATGACTAAACAGACTATGTAAGTAAAGCTGGAAATATTAGGTTTTATAAAATACCTTTGCTTCGTTGGCACTGTTTTTTCATTTTGGGGTTTTTATTTTCCTTCCACTGACATATTAAGATTTTGATAGTTAATAATTTTTCTCCTATTTTTCCTGTATTTGGAAATCAGTATTTACAAATTATACAGAAATACACAAGAAACTATATAAACTACATAAGCATAATATGCCAAATAACAGTAAAAGAAAATATCAGAGTATATAATTAAAATATTTAGTATTAACTCACCCTAATGCGTCGCATAGCAGCAACTATTTCAACCCTACTACTTGGCCTTGGAACTTCAAGGGAACCAATATACTAAAAAATGTTATGAAAGTCATAATTTAACAAAGTTCTAGATTTACTGCATAATACCTAAAACTTTAATAATATATAAATTATTTAACTACTTTTGAAAAATGAAAATGAGTTCCACACTATCATAAAATTAAAATGTTCAAGACATAAGAGAGATGATTTCAATCTTCCAACATTATACTTAGGGGAAAAAAATCAGTAATCAATACATAAAAGTATTTAAAAATTACATTTATTACATATTTTGAATGTAAATTTTTGAATGATTAAAAATATAACATAAATAATTGACATAAAGATTAAACATTTTTTTCAGAAAAATATACATAACATATTGTATAAAATAATTCTATAAGAAATCAATATGTTAAGTAAGCTGTCAATGAAAAACTGACATAGGTTTTTATGCCATGTTAATTTTGAAAAAGTCTGTTCCCAACAACTTTGCTCTATCAACATTCAATTATGCCATCCTCAAAACTAATAAAAATGGTCAAATGATTACGAAAGGAGAGAAAAATATCAAAGCAAAACAGCAAATGATTAAGCACAGATTTAAATCAAAATTCTATCAACTTCGAAGGTGAACAAGTCCCTCTTCATCAGAAGCCACAAAATTCTGCAGACTAAGGAGAGCCACGAGCATATTTATACCAAAAACGAAGTGCAGAGCAAACATGACCATACTGCCATCTATCCAAGAGAATAGTAAAGAAACATGAAAAATTAAGACATTAAACCTTTCAAAGCAGGAAGGACTGGATTGAATTAGTATAATTAACTAAAGATAAATTTTTGCAAAAGTGGAAAGCTTCAAAGAAATCCAGTCAACCAACTGAAAAAAACTTTATAGACCCTTTATAAGACCCTTCTATAAACTTTATAGGAGACAAAATTGCGATTAAATTTCCAACTATGAATAGCTATCAAAAACTTGTTTATTTATCATGACTCCTGTTTCTTTAAGCAAAATTTCAACATTCCTTTTATTTGGCCAATATATCTCGGACAACATTAATAAGATATGCTACAAATTTCCCAAGTCCACCAATCAAAAAAATTAAAAGGCAGAGATGGAATCTTCAAGAACTGAACAATGGATTTTATCGATCGGTAAGAAAATGACTTGAAAGTGCAATTTTGTAATAGAAGGATAAAATGGAAAGACAACAAGGGTAGTAATGCTATTTCTAACAGTGGAATGTTTTTGACAGCAAGATGAAAAATTTTTTAAAGCTTGATCAATGACAATTGGACAAACAATTGAGTTCATTAGAAAGCAAAAATTCTGAGCAGCAAGCTTTGAGAGTTGAGTATACATATGGGTAAAAAGAAGCCATTTTTTTGTTTAACCACACGACATGATGACAAACAAGCAGAAAAAGTTTTACAATAAACAGTATTGCAGAAATCAGAGTCACAGCAGATTATTAAAATATCAGTGATAGGAAGGGAATTGTCAGATTCAGTTTCAAAAGAGAAATGAATGGCTAGATCAATTGAAATTGTAACAGATAAAATCTGAGATATATCCTATTATGTTATTATTTTTAGCATTTTTGCATATGGAATGGAGTTTTGGTTTGGAGGGGGACATTTCAGTATATATTAGGGAGTTTTTTTAATTTGCTGCATTTAGAAAATTAGGTCCTCTGTGTTAATAATGTTCGTGTTCCAAAAGTTTTTGTTTTGTTTTGTTTAGGAAAAGTGTGGCAGGCTTATTTTCAACATGCAGATAAGTAGAGTTTTTATGTTACTGTAGCTGTGCATAATTTGCAAATATAACTGTAAACAGAATTGTATTAAATATTCAAAAAGTCCAGAATGGTAATTGAATTTGTAGTAACTGGATTCTATGTCTGTTGCAGTCAGTGGCAGGTGTACAAGAAATAATATCTAGAGATGAAATTTGAGAGCTTTGCTTACAACATAGAAAACTGTAAGTAAGCCAGGATTCTATTTATATATAGTTGAGAAAGTATTGTACAAGTGGCATTATACAGTCAAAAGTCTTTAATCCGGACGTCCATAATCCGGAATGATCTATAATCCAGACCTCAAAGCTATAAATTTTCTGCACATGCGTAAACGCATATGCATTTACACATGCACATAATACATTTACGCATGCGCGTTTAATGTATAACGGACGGTATAAACTATGCTAAAATTATCTATTTCAGTTAATGTTGCAGATTGCGTTGTTCCTTAATCTTCGAATTGGATCCGGCTTATTATTTTTTGCAGACTGTTAGAGCAATTTTATAAAAGTAAGTTTGAACTTTTGATTATGTCAAAAAGAATTTCCAATTCTGGAGCTGCCAAAGGATCTATAAAGCGAAAGCATGTTTCGATAGTCCATCAAACAAAAGGTGGAACTGCTTGCTTGCAAAAAATGGATAAAGGCATGAAGAAATAGACAGAGAGGTGATTTGTTTCTCTAACCATTCTGAAATCTGTTTATCAATTTCGCGCTGCTCTGCGGAAGGGAGGGGGAGGGAAACGTCACGACACGCAATGAACTGGAAGTTGATCTGTCAGCACTATCCTTATCTTCAGGGCAGATGTTTTTATTTTGTTCGGCTTATAATTCCTGACTAAATGTAGTATTTCATCTCGATGTACTTCGTCTTTGATATGATTTAAATAAAATTCCTCGTCATTATAAATATCAGAAATACACGTCAAATAGTTTTCTGGTTGCAATTTTCTAATTTCGACTATGCGTAATGTATGCTTTACACATGCGCATTGAAAGAAATGTTTAATAAAGTAAACAAATAAATATTAAGCTTTTTTTTTTTTTTTTGTAAATTTTGATACCCTTTAGATCATAATTGCTCTTTATTTCATAAATTACATTTCATATTTTTAATTTTATAATTTCTGCATGCCATCGTACCAGATTTAAATTGATGATCTATAACCGGAAAATCGCCGAAGTCCCAACGAGTCCAGATTAAAGACTTTTGACTGTATTAATAACGAAGTAAAATATTTTATGTTTGCAATGTGGAAATGCATATTTATATTTGAAATTATTTTGATTTACTCTATTTGAATATTATGACATTTTTTTGTTTTTGTTTTGAGTTATATTTTTGGGATTGCTGAGTAAAGATATTTTGAGGCATTGCCATGAATCCTGATAAAGTTACAAATTTTAACTGGGTTTGCATTTAAAGGTAAAAATGAATGTTGGTATATTAAATAGAAAATGTGCAATGGTGCATACGTTAAGATTTTAAAGGAAAAACTTAGTAAGACGATTGTGTGAATAAATTGTATTAAAATTGAAGATGTATTAAAAGATAAAATTGTGAAGTTACAAGTGACAATTGCAGAGTTGAAATCTCATGATTCAGAAATATTAGATTTATTAATTAAAGGCAACGCTGCTGGAGATGATCTAGAAACCAAAGTTGTAAGAATATTACAGATGAATTAATCACGCTTCATCATCAGGTGAAATAGATAATGCAAATGATTGTAATGGTAATACAAGTTCTAACACATATAGTAGCATAAGTGCTTCTAATGAAAAATGGAACAAATTGTTAAAAATTCAAATTAAAATATTTTATGGACAATTATCAAATTATTTTACATTTTGGGGTCAATTTAAGATGTATGAGGATAAGGAACTTGAAGATGTTAACAAATTACAATACTTAGCTTATTCAATATTACCTGGAACGTGGTTTAGTGAGTTGATAGATAAATTGCCCTTTAAGAGCAACAAAATTACTCAAAAGCTATTTCTGTGTTTGAAAAGCATTTGGGCAACAAAGAAATTTTAACTGAGATCTATGTGAGGGAATTGTTAAAATTAATTATCCAAAATGTACACTTGCAAGAGAAGAATAAATTGCCCCTAGTGTCACTCTTTGACAAAACTGAATCATTCCTCGGCTCTCTAGTCTCTAGACACTAATGCTTCCTGGTTATACCCAATGGTTCAGTCCTGTCTATAAGCTGAGATGTTCCGAGTATGGCACAGAGTGCTTTTTATGGTAACAAGGGATTGTGTCTCTAAATCTCTTGGAATTTTTGTGTAAAGAGGTTGAAGGAGAGCAAAGAGTCATACTTAACCAGGTCTGGATTCAAATTTTCTCCCACTTCATGCAATGAGCATTCTAAAGTTGTCAAATTTAAGACAAAAAAAAAAACTATTGCAAGTGCAGCAAATTTAGCAGTTACCATGGAGAAAAAAAAAAAAAAAAAAATTTTTTTTTTTTTTTTTTTTTTTTTTTTTTTTTTGTTTTGAAAAAAATTTACAAAAGCAAAGAAAGTTTTACAAATTTATCAATGTCCTTAAAGGAAAGGTTAGACAAAATAAGAGTATTAAAGTGCTGCCTACTTTGACTTAAGACAGGTCATTTTGTGAGGCAGTTTTATCAGTTTATTGAGGCTATCTATAGTACGGATCTTGTCCCACCAGAGAATAAAGTTGAGAGTAAGGCGAAAAGCAGAGAGTCAGTATTGGTACAAAGTACCATATTTTATTCCATATGTTTGAATGAAGTCACACTTATGACTTTAATGTTAAGTAGCAGCAGACAATCTAAAGAAAAAGGTCAGGTGCTTCTTGGATTGTGGATCACAGGGATCTTCTGTTTTCCAATCTGTACCTGAAGTTTAAATTTGAAAAGCATTTCTTTTGAGAATTTAACTCATATGCTATTTAGGTAACAAGAACTGAATTAAAATAATCATAAGCGTTATTCTACGAGACTTAGTTTGGTTAGGAGAAGCACAGATTACCAGTTCGGTTTTCTGAATCAAGATACCATTTGTAGAGGGATACCAAGCATTCCTAAAGGTTCATTACTGAAGGAATTAAAAAGATAAAGAATGCGGATTTCAAATATTCATGAGCGTCACTGGGAAATAAAAATCCTCATAGTAAACAATATTTATGGGCAATACTTACCGGTGAAATAATTCAGCTTGAGGGTAGTTTGACAGTTATAAACACTAAACTAGGATGGAGGTTGCAC